CCCTCGGACCATGGTCAGCCCTCGGGAGAGTAGTCGCAGCGACTGCCTCGCATCCACCGGACCGTGAGGAATCGAGGCTCGAGGGAGATTTCCCTGGCTGTTAGCTCCCTTCTGATCTTCGAGTAGCAGGATTTGGAGATTTTGGCGCGTTCCTGGAGATACCCCATTTCTCTTCCGTTGTGTTCCACTTCCCCGAGCAGTACTCGACTGGCCGTCCCTCTTGCTCCAGGACAGCCCCCCAGCCGGAGCCCGACGCATCCGCCGTCACCCGGATCGGCAGCTTCAGGTCGAACGGCCGAATCACAGGCTCGCTCGACAGCAACATTTTTAGTTTATCAAATGCCTCTTGCTCTGAGGTTCCCCACACGAATGGAACTTCTCCAAATAACCGGTTCGACGGCGCCGCTATCAGGGCGTAGTTCGGTATCATCCTTGCATGAATCCCAGCAAAGCCGAGTAACGTACGGAGTTTTTTGAACTCTTTGTCTGCGAGCAGCTTGGGATCATCTCGATCCAGAGCGCCCAATGTCGAAGCAAGTGGTTCGCCTTCGGCGCCAGGCTCGGCGAGGGGCTGATAGCCGGGATGAGACTAGATTCCCCCTACCACCCTATATATATATGAAAGGCTGATCTCTGTCCAATCAGGACCTCGATTTCCCTATGGCAACCTGGCTGTTCGCACTTTTTCCACCGTATTCGAAGTCGCTAAACTTATTAAAAGACTCAGCTCACCCCGCTGTGGCCTCTTCGGGGCTCGATTTTCCAGAAAGCTCCCTCTCCCTGATCACAGTTTTTCGTTTTTCCTCACAGACTAATTACTTACGAAGGAACACTGAAAATTGCATGAATCTTCGAATGGGTGCCCACGTAATCCGCAGACTACGCGCTCACGGGATGAACACGAACGAGAACGGAGCCTTCAGTACCGGAGTGAAATCGCAGCGAAGGGTACATTTTAGCATACCTCCCTCCCCACTAGGTACCTTTTGACGTGAAAACGTCTTTGTCCAGGCTCGGGTGACCTGTTCGATGTACTTCGTCATCCAAATAGCCTTAACTTGTCGCACTTTGCGCTCTTATATCTCGATCCTCATTCACGCTGGCCGCAAACCGATTCCTGTATCAATCAAGCAATTTTCCACCGCAAAGTAAGGGATTGAATCCATCAGGTCGGATCGAGAGCATATGAGAGTATTAGACTTTTTGAGGAATTCTGCGTCCCTCGGCATTCTTGAGATCTATATGCCAGCCATCGACACCCGAGGGGAAGAAGAGCGGATAGGATAAGGTGTCGCATCTTCTGTCTAGTCCAGATATGTGTTGCAAACCCCCTCGCTTCTGGTGCACTGTCAGCGAGTGCGCTGGGGGCTCGTCGTCCTCATCAGCGACGTAAACTACGGCGACCTCGTTCGCTGTTGGCAAGTCGTATGGTCTAGCAGCGAGACCTCTCTGCGTAGTTTCTTCAAAAACAATCCTGAGAACCGATGGCTGCTGACGCTCCCCAGACGCTAATTGACTTTCGACCTCCATCATCATTCTGAATCGTTTTGCGTTAGGATTTGTATTGGCCAATAGTGAGCTCAACGCAGCCATCACTCCTCCATCGCAAGCCTTATTTTGGGCTTCCTGTAAGCGTTCCTAATTCGTAATTGTTTTCGTAATTACTTTATTTGAATTTTCCGTTCCTCTGACGCCTCGGAAACATGTTCAACACTGTTGAGGGCCCGTCCGAACTTGACAGCGAGCTTCTTGTGTATCTCGAGCACCTACATATGAAGCAGCGGGTTCCCACTTCGCTAGCGAAAGCAGTCGCCGGATGTCTGAAGACGGAATCCCTGATCTTCAGGTCGGCGTACTCTAAGAGTAGAGGCTTCCCGCGGTGCGATTTCCCGGGTAGACCTTTCGGTGTGGTTCTAGGTCATCTTGAACACGAAGCCGACGGCAGCAAGCATTGAGATCACCACGAACACCAAAAACACTGTCATCAGGACCGGGCTCGCACTCCAAGCCCCAGAAAAATTCTCGGCGTCATCTTTCAAGCCCTTCTCCAGGTCTCTGCTGTTCTGCGACATGTCGACTAGTTTCGGTACCGAAGCCTCGAGGTTCAGTTGTTGGAATGAGACGGATTCGTAGAGCTCTCTCGACTCCAGGTGCTTTCATGCCGCATCTGTGCCAGTGGGGCTGTTTTATACAAGAATCACCGCGCTCCCATGGTCGATCACGGATTAGAGGGTCCCTCACCCAACATTCCGGAATCCGTCACTGTCTTCAGACTCGAGCCCCCTCATCCCCCGAAATCATTCTCTCAGCGGTGATGATCTGAACGATCCCTCCTGGCATTCATCGCGAACCGACATTCCAGCACTTCGGGAAGGTCGGGTGAGAGCTCGGCATTCACAGTCAGCTCTCGCACACTCAATTCACATTTCGTTATACCGCGTTTTCTCTACTTGAGGGTTCTTTCTCAAAATTTCTCAACCCTCGCGATGCCCTCCGATCAGAAAGTGGACATGCTTTTCGATCGGAGCATGTCCTCCAAACTTCTATCAGATTATGGAACAACGGACTTTTTTCGAGCTCCGTCGAGCGATAGCGGAGGAAACGTCAGTCTCATGGTGCGTGGTGGGCCAGGGAGTGAGATTACGTTTTGATCGATCACAATCAATGTATCTAATCATGCATTATACATACACTTCGGGTGCTCTTTTTCATCCGGGTCGTTGGATGCCCTTCAATCGGAGCATGACACACAATTGTTCAAAGGCTCCAGAAAGTACCCTCTGTTTGGAGCATGCCCTTTGATTTGAGGAATCACGGTATCCTGTGTCTCCAGCGCAAGGTATTCTCTATGACTTGAGCGCCAAATGACTAGCTTGGAATCCGGGTCCACTGTATCACTTTTCATTCCTCGCTGGATATTCGAAGCTTCGAGTTCACCGGCGCTCCGCATCGAATTAGTCTCCATTTTGAGTCATCGTAGGGATGTCAAATCTCATATGAATATCTCTCGAGCGAATCCCACACTCGATTTTCCGAGCGTTGGGCAGATCCCTTTGATCGAAGGGCAAAGGAAACGAGATTCAGTCGCGAAAAATGCTTCCGAAGCCGCTCGCGGACCGCACGGGGATATCCCGCGGGCCACATGCGGACCACGGTCCGCACTCCCCGCTTTAGAGTAACGAGGGCGCGCAACAATCGAGCCGATTGTGAGAAGGACTCGTGCATCGCCGAAGATGCATGTGAATGATGCCTTCATGCTAGACTCGATTTTTTTCTGGGCATTAATTCCATTATTCGTTCTTATGTAATGCCTGGCTAGCCTCGAAAAGCGGGCGATCTTCTGATTGAGCTCTCGGAAGGCCCAGCGTCGAGATCGGGAACGAGTTTTCCATGTTCGACGGAGGTGTCGCTAGAGGCAAGAAAGGACTGACCCTCAAGTCAGGCGGATGAAGCTGGATAAGAGGATAGAGATCGCCCCATATCCAAACAACAAAGTGAAAGGGCCATGAGTGATTGAGGAACAAAGATAGTCTGTTTATTGGAATTTTCTGATTCCCCAACGTACAGCGGAGATGTTCACCGCTGCGAAGGGCCCGTGGACGCCGATCTTGAGGGCGGCGGACAAAAATAGGAGGGGCTTCACGCGGAGCCAGACCTCAAGCCAGCCTCTCGACCTGGTTCTAGGTCATCTTGAACATGAATCCGACGGCAGCCAGCACTGAGATCACAAAGAACACCAGAAACACTGTGATTAAGACCGGGTTCGTGATCCAAGTTCCCGATGAGGTTCCGATGTCAGCCTTCAAGCCCTGCTCCAAATCTCTGCTGTTGTGCGGCATCTTGACTTTTTCCGGTGTAGGAGCCTCGACGTTTAGTTTCTGGGATAAGGAGGAGTCGAGAGGTTAAGTTCGCGCTCTGTCGACTTCGAAGTGCTTTTATGCCGTATCTGTGCCAGTGGGGCTATTTTATACAAGAATCACCCCGCTCTCATGGTCGATTAGAGATTGCAAGTCCCTCGCCCAATCCTGCGGAATGCCTCGCTATCTTCAAACGCGTGCCCCCTGATCCTCCCGAATCATTCACGACGGGGTGTAAAACGATGCATGCTCTCATTCATTCCATTTCGCGTTCATCGCGGTCCGGCATTCCGGAAGTTCGAGAGGATAGTATGAGGAATTAGTCAATTAATTAGTCGATTTTTCAAGCCGATCTCGAGCCGCTTAGTCGGACCAGTCCCGACCCAGACCGTGTTTTCTATCTCTTGATTATTCCTCACGGAATGCCCCAAATTGATCGGTCGATCTCAGGAGATTCCATGCGTTCGAGGTATGCTATCGGTTACTCGCGAAATGTCTCCATAGGAGCTCCCCGATGCTCGGAGAGGTCGTGTCGTCACCATATTCGATTTGAGGCAGAACCGATGAGCGGGAAGACCTTGTCCGCATCGACGATGAGATCCAATCTTGTGCGGTCTCGGCCTCTTGAGGATGAGATTGTCGAGGAAATGAGAACGAATGCCGAAATCGAACGAGACAGTGTGTCAGATGATGAAGGGACGGGGTAAATATATTGTTCCGTCAGCGTTCGCGAGGCTGCTGGATGCATCAACACCCTTCGGCTATTCTTCAATCAGGATCACGAGTTTCCTTGCCCGCAAACATCTTTGAGCCTCTGCACCGATTTCATACAGAATCTAGCAATCGCAAAGTAACGACAGACCTCTTTAACACTTTCCCTGCCATCCATGTTGACCGGAAACCGTACGCCACGGGCCACCCGTACTAACGGGACTGAGGCGCGCCGGCGTACCTCATGGCAATAGGAGAGCGTAAATTTTATGGAGACCCTCAAACCTCGAAATTCGAATGAAAAATCGATTGAGAAGGTTCAAAAGCTTTGAATGTATTGATTGTATCATGATTGAGTAAGAGACATCGAATAATGCGCATAAGTGAAATAGTACAATGGAGGCTGAACATCAGATCGTAGCTGTCGCGCCCTCAATGCGATTTGACGAAACAAGGAACGCACAGCCATTTCTCGCATTCTCCACACATTGTATTCACTCTTTTGAGGCCTTGAGCAGCTTTTCTACCCTGGGAAGCCGCGATCTTGGCGTAGCAGTTTTGGCATCTGCCTCTTTTCTTCCGGTTCCTTCTGTCCGAGCCCTCGCTTCGGATGAGCTCGTGACGTTCATCTCGACGTGGCATCAGGGGCGTCGGGGCACGGTCTTGGAACCCGAGAAAATCCTGCACGATCATTTCTCGGAAGTTTTTCATCGTTATATTGTTCCCCGTGAGCTCATTGAAGATGATTCTCGAGTTGACAGCAGCCGTGTTGAGCAGGATCTCGAAAACAACCTTGTGGTACCATCGGATGCTCTTTCTAAGCGGAGATTGGTAGCTAGCCATCTGATCTGACTTATCCACCCCCTGTTTGGTCTTGTTATACTCTAGTATCGCCGCTGGTTTGGCCCTTTCGACGCCGTCTCGCCGTGACCGACCCAACGTCACCATTCGTAGATCATGCTTAGTTGTCAGGAAATACACGTCTCGTTTATCTCTCCATTTCCCCACAACGATACCCTCGTTTGACATTTTCCCAACAACTTGATCTCGAGCTAAGCGTGAGTTGACAACGCTTTTGGGCAGATGCTTTCTGTTGCTGCGCAGAGTTCCCAAGAAATGTGTTTTCCTCCGTAGGAGGTTCTTCGCGAGAGGCACGGAGGTGAAGTAATTATCCGCTGTCAAGGTCCGTCCGGCATCGAGATATGGCTCCGCAAGTTCTTGAACGATTCCAGACGGGAGGCTCTTCGAAATGCCATCGCTTTTGCCTGTGTAGACTCTCATCCGAAAGGTATAGCCATCCGGGTTGCAGAGCTTGAACACTTTTACCCCGTACTTGTGGCTTTTACCGGGCATGTATTGCAAGAAGGACAGACGACCTCTGAAGGGGATCATGGTTTCATCGATTGTCAGCTTCTCGCCCGGGTTGATCGCTTCACAGAATTTATCTTGTAATAGAGTCAGAATCTTGATGAATTTGTTAGATCGATCAGCGATGTCAGCCTCTTCATTGTCGGAGAAATGGATGAACCGGAGGAGCAATTGGAATCTATTGCGGCTCATTGCTGAGGCAACGAGTTCATTCCGATACAAGCAATCCTTGCGCCAATAATCGGTTATATTCGGATATTTCACGAGGCCCATGTACATGAGGAGGCCGAGGAATTTTCTCATTTCGGTGGGGTCCGTGTCTCTCCATTTCTTCACTCTGCTGTTCGAACTGATCCCTCCAGCTTGGATGAACCTCCTGGCGTTACGATTTGTCTCGGATACTATGAGCTCGATAACATCTTGATCGAGGAAAACTCTGTAGACTTGCGCAGGTCGCAGGGAGTCAAGATCTAGCGGGTAGGAAACGTGGGTTTGGAAGAGCTCTCGACCCGAGAAGCTCAATCGGTTCAGGGCATCCTCTCTAACATCACCCCACACGAAAACTGGGGTCTCTTCCGTCGGCACGTCTTTGGTCTGGTAAGATATTGTGTCGTCGGTGTCGCTGTCTTCGCAGTCCTGGGAGAACTCCGGATTCGAACCCGAGTAGAGACCTGCTTCACTGTCGCTGGAGGTGTTGAAGAAATCATACGTCTCCTGATCTCTTACCACTGTGCTGTTTCGCCTCCTAGTAGATCGGAGACAGCGGCTTGGATCTTGGCTGCAACCCGCTTCATCCATGACCTTCTTGACCCACGAGTACGAAGCAAATAACAGAACAGCGTGCGTGTGCCGACGTGATCTGAGTACCCTTTGACTTTGAATTTCCAATATGGCGCACCGCGCAGTAAGTCATGACGCAGTAAGTGCAGTAACGGAACCGCTTCGTCGTCCTCAGAGCTTTGAGGAATGAGAGAGATCATGCCCGCCGCTACCGTTGAGGTAACAAGGATGACTTCCCGAAATTCATGTCTGGAAACACTGGAATCCAATACTGTTCTGAGGCCTCCAGCCCCTGACCATTGTACTTGGTGGTCAATCGCGGATCGGAGAAGCCGTCGATACATTGGACTGCATGTTGCTGCGGAATCCCGCTCAGCCAGGGAGCCCAAACCTCAAAGTCCAATGAGGTGCGCCGGCGCTCCTCAAGCGTCAGCAAACCTGAGGGCCGCCGGCGCACCTCATAGCAGCGAACGTGTTAAAGAAGTATTTCAAATCCGACCGACTCTGTAGTGGGAAGAGCATCGGGTTCTTCTGACATAAGGTTCAGGAACATGCTGGTACATGACTGAAGTAAGGAGACTGACATAATAAATAGGAATAAAAGTTCCTCCCATAAACTTGAATCTATGCTCTTCTTGTCATATGCCGCCAATGCTTCTATCGTCGGAGCTTTCATCAGCTGTCGAGACCGCGATACAAGTTGAGAAAACGGTATTCTCGATCCATCTCCCCCGGCCCGCGGTATCGGACCGACCGCATATTCGGACCAAAAGGGGTCGACCCCGATGTGTCCCTATGAAGCGGGCTGCACTGTATTAGTGGGGATCCTGCGCACGGTTCTCCCCCAGGGTTGTTGGAAGCGCGGAAATCTCGGTTTTCCAAAGCGAGAAACTCGAAGGAGGGGAGGTAAAGCCTGACTGGATTGAGTATCAGCCTATGAATACGAATACGAGTACGACTAATTTCAAATTTCGTTCACGAATACGGATATGGAAACGAGTACGAATATACTTGTATTCATAGGATATTTGTGAATACGCCAATATTCATTCGAATAGGGCTGTAAGCGATAGCGCAATTCTCAGGTGAGACCTGACCCCGGAATCGACCTCGACGTGCCCAGAAACCCTCAATTAGCCTCTCAGCTCGTCTTCGTAGCCTCATTATACAGTGGAAGTCCCATTCGTATGAATACGGGTGTATTCACGAAAACATAAAATTATCGTAAATATTTGTACTCGTATTCACGAACACGAATGTGCCCCACTCTGCTCTCCACCCCCTTCCAACTACCACTGCTCCTAGTGATTGATTTTCGATCGTTCTCCCTCCCAAGCCGGGGAAGAGGAAAGAGATCACCCCAGACGCAAACTACTGAGTGAAAGCTCGATGTATGATCGACGAACAACGATAATAATCTGTTTATTCAAATTTTTCGTTCCTCATACGCCACGGAAAGATGTTCAACACTGTTGAGGGCCCGTCCGAGCTTGAGAGCGAGCTTCTTGTGTATCACGAGCACCTCCATATGAAGCAGCGGGTTCCCACTTCGCTAGCGAAAGCAGTCGCCGGATGTCTGAAGACGGAATCCCTGATCTTCAGGTCGGCGTACTCTAAGAGGAGAGGCTTCCCGCGGTGCGATTTCCCGGGTAGACCTTTCGGTGTGGTTTTAGGTCATCTTGAACACGAAGCCGACGGCAGCAAGCATTGAGATCACCACGAACACCAAAAACACTGTCATCAGGACCGGGCTCGCACTCCAGGCCCCAGAAAAATTCTCGGCGTCATCTTTCAAGCCCTTCTCCAGGTCCCTGCTGTTCTGCGACATGTCGACTAGTTTCGGTACCGAAGCCTCGAGGTTCAGTTGTTGGAATAAGACGGAGTCGTGGAGATCTCTCGACTCCAGGTGCTTTCATGCCGCATCTCTGCCAGTGGGGCTGTTTTATACAAGAATCACCTCGCTCCCATGGTCGATCACAGATTAGAGGGTCCCTCACCCAACATTCCGGAATCCGTCACTATCTTCAGACTCGAGCCCCCTCATCCCCCGAAATCATTCTCTCAGCGGTGATGATCTGCGCGATCCCTGCTGGCATTCACCGCGAACCGACATTCCAGCACTTCGAGAGGGTCGGGTGAGAGCTCGGCATTCACAGTCAACTCTCGCACATTCAATTCACATTTCGTTATACCGCGTTTTCTCTAATTGAAGGTTCTTTCTCAAAATTTCTCAACCCTCGCGAGGGATGCCCTCCGACCAGAAAGTAGAACATGCTTCCCGATCGGAGCATGTCCTCCAAACTTCTATCAGATTATGGAACAACGGACTTTTTTCGAGCTCCGTCGAGCAATGGCGGAGAAAACGCTAGTCTTATGTCGGGTGGTGGACTATGGAGTGAGATTTCATTTTGATCGATCACAATCTATGAACCTAATCATGTGTTATATGTACACTACGAGTCATGTCCTCTATCTGCTCTTTTTCATCCGGGGGGTAGGATGCCCTTCAATCGGAGCATGGCCCACAATTGTTCAGAGGCTCCAAAAAGAACCCTCTATTTGGAGCATGCCCTTTGATTTGAGGAATCACGGTATCCTGTGTCTCCAGCGCAAGGTATTCTCTATGACTTGAGCGCCAAATGAATAGCTTGGAATCCGGATCCACTGTATCACTTTTCATTCCTCGCTGGATATTCGAAGCTTCAAGTTCACCGGCGCTCCGCATCGAATTAGTCTCCATTTTGAGTCATCGTAGGGATGTCAAATCTCATATGAACATCTCTCGAGCGAATCCCACGCTCGATTTTCCGAGCGTTGGGCAGATCCCTTCGATCGAAGGGCAAAGGAAACGAGATTCAGTCGCGAGAAATGCTTCCGAAGCCGCTCGCGGACCGCACGGGGACTATCCCGCGGGCCACATGCGGACCACGGTCCGTACTCCGACCTGCCCCGCTTTAGAGTAACGAGGGCGCGCAACAATCGAGCCGATTGTGAGAAGGACTCGCGCATCGCCGAAGATGCATGTGAATGATGCCTTCATGCTAGACTCGATTTTTTCTGAGCATTAATTCCATATTCGTTCTCATGTAATGCCTTGCTAGCCTCGAAAGGCGGACGATCTTCTGATTGAGCTCTCGGGAGGCCCAGCGTCGACATCGGGACCGAGTTTCCCATGTTCGAAGGAGATGTCAGGAGAGGCGAGGAAGGACTGACCCTCAAGTCAGGCGGATGAAGCTGGATAAGAGGATAGAGATCGCCCCATATCCAAACAACAAAGTGAAAGGGCCATGAGTGATTGGGGGACAAAAATAGTCTGTTTATTGGAATTTTCTGATTCCCCAACGTACAGCGGAGATGTTCACCGCTGCGAAGGGCCCGTGGACGCCGATCTTGAGGGCGGCGGACAAAAATAGGAGGGGCTTCACGCGGAGCCAGACCTCAAGCCAGCCTCTTGATCTGGTTCTAGGTCATCTTGAACATGAATCCCACGGCAGCCAGCACTGAGATCACCAAGAACACAAGAAACACTGTGATTAAGACCGGGCTCGTGATCCAAGTTCCCGATGAGGTTCCGAGGTCAACCTTCAAGCCCTGCTCCAAATCTCTGCTGTTGTGCGGCATCTTGACTTTTTCCGGTATCACAGCCTCGACGTTTAGTTATTGGGATAAGGAGGAGTCGAGAGGATGAATTTGCGCTTTGTCGACTTCGAAGTGCTTTCATGCCGTATCTGTGCCAGTGGGGCTATTTTATACAAGAATCACCCCGCTCTCATGTTCGATTGGAGATTGTAAGTCCCTCACCCAACCCTGCGGAATGCCTCGCTATCTTCAGACGCGTGCCCCCTGATCCTCCCGAATCATTCACTAAGCGGTGTAGAACGATGCATGCTCTCATTCATTCCGTTTCGCGTTCATCGCGGTCCGGCATTCTGGAAGTTCGAGAGAATAGTACGAGGAATTAGTCAATTGATTAGTGGATTTTTCAAGCCGAACTCGAGCCGCTTAGTCGGACCATGAGCCCGCTTAGTCGGACCAGTCCTGATCCAGACCGTGTTTTCTATCTCTTGATTATTCCTCACGAAATGCCCCAAATTGATCGGTCGGTCTCAGAAGATTCCATGCGTTCGAGGTATGCCATCGGTGAATGGCGTAATGTCTCCATAGGAGCTCCCCGAACGCTCGGAGAGGTCATGTCATCACCGTATTCGATTTGAGGCAGAACCGATGAGCGGAAGGACCTTGTCCGCATCGACGAAGAGATCCAATCTTGTGCGGTCTCGGCCTCTTGAGGATGAGATTGTTGAGGAAATGAGAGCGACTGCCGAAATTGAACGAGACAGTGTGTCAGATGATGAAGGGACGCACAGTGGCGCCAAAGCCACTTTTAGGTGGACAAAATTATTATATGAGATTTTCCGATCATAAATGACTCAGAAGAGAAGGAGAAGCTTGAGAAAAAGTTTAATAGCCTATTCGCTGAATGGAATCGGGGTATTCAAGACACTGACACTGATGGATGAACGATGGTATTCTCGCGAGCACTTTTCTTGATA